CTGTTATAATTTTTTTAGTATATTACTTGTGTGGTGTAGAAGAGAATTATTTATGTAGAGATACTGCTTGTAAACCAATGATGGTAAGATGATGTCATGGGGTAGGACTGGATAAGTCTGACTTCTTCCTACTCCATTCAAGCATGTACTAGGTATAAGCAAATTGATATTGGATTAGCATTTGTTGGATATGTGTAAAATTATGTGTGTTGACATATCAACTGTCTTTACATGCTTGAAAGAATAAATCAAATCAAATCAAACTGTAAATGACACGTACCGAGGCTGTGGCGGCACACTTGTGCATAGAGTTTGAGCTTGTTAAAGGTGTCGCTATTGCCGCTTGAAGCCTTGAGGAACCAGTCACTGACTGGCTGATCCACAAGGTTCTTGGCTCCTTTGCCACCAACAAGGACTATACCATCAGGGTAGTCTTTGGAGATGGGCCGGTGCTGGCCCAGCCGACATGACTGCAGAGAAACAGATATAGAGGCAAAGTGGTAAAGTTAACGGATGTAAATGTAATTTAATGTGAAAATGGTAAAAAAAAAAAAATGGAGGTTTGATTGTAGCTGTACTTGGAGCACTTTTTATAAATCATTTCAACAACAAAATATTAAACTATTTTTATATGTTTACATTAAAAAGCGATTTCTCCATCAGGACATGCTCTTAGATAATTAACTTAGTTCCTTAATACACCTTCTGAATGCTCTTCCACATGCATGGCATCCTTTTTATTTTTTCTGGTATAAAGCTGTCAGGAACCCAAAATAAAAAATATCGAAATCTATAAAAATGTAAAAATCTTAGTAATAATTACTAAAAATGTTATAAACAGTTCAAGGTTGTAATACGTATTTGCCATACCTGAGTAAATACATTAAAAAAACTGCATGCACCTCCCCAAAAAACTTTGCATCAGGTGCATAGGTCAAGTGATGCTCCACAACGTTATTTTATTCAGGCCAAGAAACTTCTCTCTCTTGTTGGCATGGCAGCTTGGCCTGAATAATATAACGTTGTGGAGCATCAAATCAGTGTGGTTGCTATAATATCTCTACTTTATTCGCAAACCTGAGTAAATCTATGTTATGTTTGGAGAGTGCTAGCACTGAAGGGTTTACACTCTTCCTCAGAGACTCTACCTCATAGACAGCTGTGAGATCTCGGAAGAAGCTTTTGGCACCGCTGAGCAGGGCCTCATTGTCAGGACAAATCACGAGGTACCCAATGTCCCGCTGAGAGCCAAAAGGATCCAGCAACAGTTTCTCCCAGTACGGCAGGCCAAAAGGAGACAGCACCAAAAAGTCATACTCATAACCCACCAGGAAGGTGGGGATGGGTAGGGGCTCTGGGGACTCGTCTGTGCCTGTGGGAGTGAGGTGGAAGGAGGAGAAAGAAGTCAAAACCAAGTGGAATGAGGCAGAAAAAAAGAAGAGAAAGAAAGGACAGTGAAGCCCATTTTACAAAGACCGAAGCAAACTGTTTTCACCCGTCTACAAAGTGGCTTTTTTGATTTCAGCCCCTTTTACACTAAACTCAAAAAGCACGGCAAACTGCAGCAATCCTAATACTAGACACATGTTTATCATGACATCTGACTGCTTTGTTCTCACTGATGCTGCTCCTCTTTCACCCTCTAGCTCTCTCCACCTCTCTCTCCTGAGGACCTCCAACCCCCCATTCCACCTCATTCCGTTTAAACAGGAGGTGGGGTGAACTTGTCTTGGCAAAAACTCTACCTGTCTTTGAGGCATTTTGGAGGGTCAACATTGGCCCCTCATGCCGATACGGTACCTTTTATACACAGTGGCAAGGTGGAAAACTAGAGGAAAGCTCTTGCATTGAATAAGATGTGTAAAAGGGGCTTGTGAAAGTGATGTTAACAGGTGAGGTGTCAGCTCCCCTCCCTCCCTTCCTTCTCTGTGCTGATATCAGAATGTGATGCCACAGAACAATCTGGCAGCTTCTCCCAACAGAGCTGACACCTGGACACACCCACACTGCCATTGATCTGACAACATCTATTTTTTCTACATGAAGCCACACACATCCCAAAATGTCACACACACAAACACCAAATGTTATCACAATCACAGTATATATCATCAATTTGACCATTAATCCTTTAAGATAACTAATATTTGTTGAGCTCAAGGTGACAACAGTCATATAGACATTGTGCTTTTACTTAAGAGGGATGTTTTTCCAAACCCCCCCCCACTAATATCATATTTTAATACAGTCAGATCTATCTATTATATAAACTTTCTCAGCTTGTCCCCAGCTTTACCATAAGAGCCACGTCCAGCCATCTTGTGGAACTGCTGCCAGGTGAGAGGACCCTGAACGCCCCATGAGCGCACAGTCCTCTTCTTTTGGATTGCATCCTGGAGTACAGGCTGAAGGGACATCAGCACTCGCAGCACGTCCTGAGAGCACAGTGCGCTCACGTCCACTGCTGGAGAACCGACAAGTGAAGGGAAAACTAAAGCTTGATCATAAAATTAGAAAGCAACACTCTGGCTGCAAAATATACAGAGTACACTTCAGTTTTATTTTAAACAACTCCGTCTTAAATTTAGTCATGGGTATTTTTCTTTCCAAAGGTTCTGACCTCTAAAATGTCTGACTGCATAATAGGTGAGTCAGTTTGCATTTAGGGAGATTTCTCAGTGTACAAAAGCAGTTTTCTTATTCTCAAAAAGGTAGAATATTTCAAAACAAAATATCTATGACCAACTACTTACATAAAAAGCATTTCAAAAATCAATTAATGAAAGCATTTTTTCCTATATTAACACCATATAATATTTTTAATTGCTTTTTTAGATGAGTAACTTTTTAAAATAACTTAAACAAGATTTCTTGAAGACTGCTTCTTTACATCATTTTTATAGATAAATAGAAGCAGCCTAATGAACTACAATGGCCTAAAAATAGAAAACATCATGTGCTGTCAACCTGAGCCATTTTTCGTATAGAAGGTCTGACAGAATGTCTTATTTCTCACCGTTTTGTTTGTCCCAGTGGTGCAAGCAGGTGCTCTTGACCAGAGCCTCATCCACCTTGCCACCTGACATGTTGTCCATGAATTGCCTGCCATGCTCCAGGGCCATGTAGCAGTCACTGTGGTAGTCCCTCTCCTCCACCCTCACACAGGGTGGTACAGGGGTCCCACTTGGCCCCTGTGTCACTATGTTATGCTCCAGGATTGAAATGGGTGAAAAAGGATTGGTACATTGGTCCTGCAGGAGGAGAATGAGCTCATCTGGGACACAGTCACCTCTCCCACTTCCAGTTCTCTCCAGCGACAAGAGCCGCAGTTCCTCAAAGCGTTTTTCTGCCTCTCTGCTGATGTCCGAACCGCGGCCGATGATATCCAGCTCATCCTCAAGGAAGAGGCCTGAGCTGTTGCCATAACGCCGGTTGACTACAGCGCTGAAGCCACAGCTGCAGGGTTCCTGGGCTTCACCAATGGGGTCGCTCAGGTACACACCCACATCGGCTCCTTTTATGTTCATGTTACACACACAGATGCAGCAGCTGTCAAAGTTGCAGTCCTTGAAAAGGTTCATGACTGACTCTGAGAGGATGAGGTTGACGTAGAGGCTGTGCGCCTCGGGGATGGAAGGTACTGTGGCTGGCTCCACTGAGTTCAGCGGTCGGCAGGTGGAAGGGGTAGACGCTGGTGAGTACAGGTCAGAGTTCTCATACTTGAGTGAGCCCTGGACACTGGAAGGGCCCCGAGGTGTGCGTGGAGTGCGTGGTGTACGTGGGGTGGGAGCAGAGAAACGCGGGGTGGCAGGAGAAGGCAGAATGCCAGCACCACTGTTACTTGGTGGAGCACTGTTTGACATGAAGGGCGTATGGGTCTGAGGGGTGTAGGTCTGGCTGTAGTCCTGGTCCATAGTGCTTCCCACACTGGGGATGTTACTGAGGTCAGAAAGGTGAAAGGACATGAATTAAAAAAAGGCACTTGAACTAAGAGAAGGTACATTTTAGGGTTTTGAAATGAGGCCAACTGACCTTAACAGGATTACTGTGAACCCCAACAAAGCCATGTGGCCAATTAGAAAAGATCGATATTAGAGAATGTTTAAGAATAACTATTCAAATCACAGCTTAGAATGTCAATGCTGTTAATTTCCTATGTTCAGCAAAAAAACAACCTTAAATGGCACTTACTGTTGCATGAAAATAAGGCAGATGTCTTGCAATAGACCATACTTTATTTTCCCCGGTATTATATTTTAAATCAAAACTGCCATGTTCAGTACAATGCTTCAAATAATATACTGTTATTCAGCTGTCTTGCCTCACTGTATTTGTGAAGATAGTTCAGGTAATAAGGCAGTATGCCACAATGACATTCACTACAAAAGGAATGTAGAGTTGGCTTAAAAGACACATGTTTACACACAAGAGAACAAGAATGCTGGAGAGAAAATGAGAAACAGGAAACAAAAAATATATATATATAAAAAAAAAAAACAGCAGAGGGAGAAAAGAAGACATTCAATAAACATTTCAACAAGTGTCCCTCTGTAAGGTTTATTTTTGGGCTGGCAAGCAACTGTGAAGAAACAGTGAGAGCGTGTATGAGATACCAGGGGAGAGAGGAAAAATGAGCACATCATGTCCCTAGCTGTATGTGGGGAACTCTTGGCACAGACCCATTAGAAGGTAGCCCAGCACAACTCTCTCCTGCAGCTAGAGCACGTTCAATATGCGATGCTGATGCAAAGGCAACACAACAGTTTGTCAGCTGACAGGGGTTGTGATGTTCGTTCAGAACTGAATAGGTCATTGTGTTGTAGAGGTAAAAAAATTCAATAAAACACACTGAGTAAAGTTAAAAACTGAAATAAGAAGTGCATTGTGGTGAATGCTTGTGCTCAGAGCCACAAGTTTAGTAAAGCCCTCAGGTTTTGTGAGTCTTCCAGATTTCACATTCACAGGTCAATGCAACACCACGGTATAACAAAGTTAAGTCCATACAAATATAATAAGGATCTACTACCCTCATTAAAGAAAAGCTCAAAATTAATAGAAAAAAAAAACAGGCTTGTTTTCTGACCAACTGAAACTTCCATGCGTCTTAAAAGTAGCAGAGGTGCAGCTGCATGTAGTTAAGAGGAACAGGGCCAGATAAACTAGAGACTCCAAGCTGCGATGTGCAATAAAGTGGCATTAAGCTGCTTGCGGGGGCTCATCTCACATCACAGTGGTATCTTCAACCAAGACAGCATTTTACACTCATTTCCTTGCTCTGCTTGAGACACCCATGCATGAGAAATTAAGCAAGCCTCCTAAGGGGGTGTCCGGGGAGAGACCAGAGGGTGTGTGGACAGAAAAAGAGCAGAGTATTGAGTATATGCTTCCTTGCACACAAACCACAAACCAGCCAGCACAGCAATGTTTTCTGCAAAACTAAATTAAAATGCCTCAGTAACCTTATGCCCAAAATCACCATGAAAACAACAAGGAATTTTTTAAACAGGGAAAAAATATAAATCTGGGTTGGCGTCACAGACAAAGAGAAATCAGACAGAAACCTGGCCATGAGAGAAGGAAATGTATCCAAATAACAGAAACAGCATAACTGGGAAAATCCATGTCAGTAACATACCTATCCTTATTGAGGAAGGCCATGACAGGCACTGGATTCAGCATCTCCCTGCCCATGGTCCAGCTCTGTCGGTAGATGCAGTCCTCTGGTATTTTGACAGGTGGGAGACACTGACTGGGCAATGTTTTCAGAGGAGCAAACATAGAGCAGCCTACAAATGGCTGGCACAGCTCTGGCTTGTACACAAATGAGTAGTCCTACAAAATGTATGGACAATAAGACAAACAAAGGTAGATAAATAGAAAAATATTAGCTGACAAAAGTGATGAATCAACACAGCTATCATATTCCCATAAACAGCTGGTGGCAGTTTCATCTACGTAACTTTAGGTACATTACTTACACAGTAAACTGAAAAGAAAACAAAATGTGACACATTCATGATATCATCTTTTTGTTAGGATATTTCAAAGTGCTAGTCATTTAGAGTCAGTTTCAGAGTATGTCAAAATTATCTGTTAGCGGTCCCTGTTTGCAATGTACCCACTGATGTACACCTGTCACTGGATTAGATGGATCATAATACGAAAACTTACAAATACGGGGATTCTCAGGCAAGTTTGGACTTATAAGGAGAATCTTTTTCCTGAGTTTTTAGTAGAGTTTTGGTTGTTTATTCATGAGGGACATAATAGATAATGATATGCCCAGAAAGTGGAGGTTACAGTGAATCTAAAGCATAAACACTAAGGTGGTGATGAAAATCCCATAACTTTATATTACACATCATCTTCAAGTCTATCATCTGACCACCTGGCCTGCCTCAAAATGAAGAACATACATCTAACAACAGTCAGTCACTTTGACCTATGGCAACTATGGTTGTGGCACTAGATTCCACCTGTTGGTTCACTAAGTTGTAAAGGACACTGCAACAATACCCAGCAGCTTTACTGAGTCTAGACCCACCTTGATCTCAGAAGGCTTGGGGCTGCAGAAGCTCTCCTCCACCTCAATCTTGAAGAGGCCTGCTAGAGATGAGGTGCCATCCAGCATGGTCATGCCTATGCTGGGTTCCATGCTGCCATACTCCTTGTTACACATGTTCATGGGTGAGTAGCCCATGATGTGCTGC